AGGAATGCCCATTCCCAATACCAGATTGCCTGGCTATTATGCCTGGGAGTCCTGCCACTGGCCTTAATTCCTGTCTCCATCCAGAGGTCAGCCAAGCTGCTTCCCTGTTGGAGTCTCACTCCCAGTCCCCACTCTCTCCAGGAGGCAAGCTTACAAAGCACTTCAAGATCTGAAGTTAGTGGGGGGTGGCTGCATTGAGCACAAATACTCTGTGAGGTACAGCACGTCTAGACTGGTAATGTAACAGCCATCCCACACGGTAGAGTGCAGGGGCTAGAAGGAGCTTGGCCTCAGTTTGCTTGTTACAGAGGGCAAGGGCTAACTAAGGCTGCCTTCTGCCTCATAGAGGCCAAAGTAATAAATGGGTCCACTGGAGAGCAATGGTCACAATCAACAGTCTTAATTATGAATTAATAATTCATATTTATTCCAGACTTGGAGATAAGCACAAGCCTGCTAAAATGATTTCCCATGGAGGAATACCATCAGAGGGGGTTGGGAAGGGCCTTTAGTACAGCCATTACTTCCAGAGGCCATTAAACGCATTTCTGTTTCTCAGCCAGAACCTGGAAGAGATTCATTAGCTTCCTTGGCTGATTCCTCTGAACAGCTACCCACCCTTCAAGCTTCTAAACATAGGACCACGCTGCTTCTGTTCTTCCTGAGCCCAACGGCCAGCCCTGTCAAAGTGACCTCGGAACCTGAACTCTGACTTCTAGGATTTCTGTGCTCTCTGCTCCCCGTTCTGCTATTTATATATGGGATCCCCTGCAGGAAGGCCAGGTGCTAGGGTCCAGGGCAGATGCAGTTATCCTCCTGGCTCATCTCCCTCTCCCTTCTCCTCATGGGCATTGCCTAGGAGTTCTCATATTTTGGCCAAGGTTTCTCCAGCTTTATGTGGGAGGAAACAGGGAGTAACTCCTCTACTGTGAGTAGCTGCCTTTGGTTCCCAGACGTGGATTTGAGGGGCTACCCTTGACCTCTTAAGAAAACATCTACATGGGGGTGAGGAGAGACAGAAGGTGGTATAATGGTAACACAACTAGTCTCACACGAGAAAGGTCTTGGGTTCATATCCTAGGACCTTCCTGAGCACACTGGGCATGTGCTCGTGTGCTCACCTGCACTGCGATCTGGGCGCTCTCTCTTTCCTCTCTCCCTCTTTCTCTCTTGCTCTGTCCCTCTTTGGTCAGATTAAGATAAATAAATAAATAAAGTTAAATAAAATAATTCTTTTAAAAAAAATAATAATAAAGGCAGGACCAGCAGGTGATGTGGTGGTTAAGGTGCTGGACACTCCCACATGGCTGACTACGGTTTGAGTCCTGGTCCCAGTAGCTTGCTTTCTCACTTTCTCTCTCTGTCTCTCTCTGGCCAAATTAAAATATAAAAAATAAATTTTTTAAATAAATGAATAATAAAATTTTTAAAATGAATAAATAAAATTAAATCAGTAATTCTTTGAAAAAAAAAAAACTATAAAGGCCGGGCCGCGACGGGGCAATTAAAGTGCTGGACTTCCATATGATCAACCATGGTTCAAGTCCCAGACCTGGTGTTTTCTCACTTTCCCTCTCTCTCTCTGGTCAGATTAAAAAATAATAACTGGGACCAGCAGTTAGCGTAATGGCTATGTTGCTGGACTCCCACGTAGTCAACTACAGTTCAAATCCCAGACCCAGTGGCTTAAACTCATGCCGGGCGCGTGTGCATGTGTGCCCAAGATCTTGAGAGGAGAATGGAGGAGAAGGGATTGCAGGTGCCAATTCCCCCTGGGGGGGTGATTTCTCACTTTCTTTCTCTGCCTCTGTCTTTCTGGCCAGCACATGCACCCTATAGCAAAAACCTCTCAAAAAAAAAAAAAAACAACTTAAGTTATATTAGATAATTTTTTAAAAATAATAATAATGGCAATGGAGCCTAAACAGAACTAGGGAGGCTGCCCCACACCAGATCCAGCTCTCTGCTGCTCCCCTCCCCAGCACTCATAATCCCAAATTTCCACTCCAAGAGACTTAAAAATACCTTTAAAAACATCTCAAAGAGTCACTTAGGCTCTCACAGTTCCAGGATATCCCTTTTTCTTTCTCAGGGAATAAGCAAAGGAGGAAAGATTCTTGTTCTTCCAAATGTTCGAAGCTTAGACCACAAAGGGGCCTTATCTCTGGCCATTAGGAGATCCTTGACCACCCTCTGCTATGCCACTACTTTCTCCAGAATGCTAGAAGGAAGAGGGCTTGGATCACAGATCAAGAGGATTTGGGATTGGAAAGCATTACCAAACCCAATTCCACCTTGCATCAGATACACATGTCAGCTAAACCCACAGGATGAAGGGAGTTGGGACATGAGCACCTGCAGATACCCTTGCCCAGATCTGTGGTACAAGAGTGGGTGGCCGGCCAAGTATGGGGTGGGCAGCTACTGCCATGGGTCAACACACCTCTGACTCCTCCCACCCCATCTCCTTACCTGGCCTCTTTTGGTCTCAAGAGGAGGATCAGTAAGGGAGTATAACCCAAGTTATCCAGTTAAGTAACTGGAAGTACCAGTTGTTTAATTAAATGCCTCTTCTTTGGCCTCCAAATAGGAGAAATCTTTAAATCTCTTCCCTAGCTCCCCCCAACACTCAGTAAAATCTTAGCTACAAAAAAATCCTAAATGTAGGGGGCAAACCTTCCTGACCTACCATTTTGCCCCACCTGCAACCCGTGTCCCCTCCCCCAAATTTTTTCTCTCTCTCCTGAGCCTCCGTTCTTCGCTTCTTTAAAAAAAGGGGGAAAAAAAAACGAAGAAGAAGGAATTTTCAATAGTCCCACTTGTCAAGCGAAGACCATCTTTTAACCTTCAACAGCAGCGAAAGCCGTGTGAACTCTCGGTGAACCAAGATTGAAGTCATAAATCACGCGTACAAAGGCGGCTGCGGAGGCTGGCGCGGGCTGCTGCACCTTTAACGCTTTCTGGGGCTGACAGGCGGCGGCCCAGCTAAAGTTCACAGCGCCCGGGGAGGGCCCGCCCCCGCCTCCCCTCCCCCGGTCCGGCCCGCAGAGCGGCCGCGGAGCTGCGGGAGGAGGCCCCTTGGGTGTCCCTGCGAAGTAAGGGGAGACACGTCCTCTTTCGCCGGCCCGCTCTACCCTGGCTGTTTATTCCCTGCTCCCCCCAAGTCTGCTGTATTGAAAGAGGCAAAGAGATCTGCAAAGGACGCAGTAATTTAACTTGTTTCGTCTGTAACATTTTCTACAGGACCCCATAGACGAGCCTCTTCCCCTTTTCCTCCCTCTAGAACTGGCGT